CAGTCTAACTATAAAAGGGACAGGTTGCAGCAAAAATCAAAATGCAGCCCAGGTTCTAAAACACACCTGATCTAAGATAGATCTGGCTCACGTGTACCTCCAACCCTGGCTCAGAGCTTTTCCTCTTTGGATGGAAGTGAGTGAGGATGAAGCCTGAGTAAGAGACAGGCTGACCGTGCTGTACAGGTGCCTCATGAATGTCACCTTGCTCAGGGCAACCTCTCACGTGCAGGACCCCAAGGGGAAAACAGACACTACATGATGACTAGAGGGAACTACTAAGATCAAAACAATTAAAACAACAGGAACAAAACAAACATAATGGGACAAAAACTGACAGCCACTGTTCCAAAGAAACACCATCGGATGGAAAATCAAGCATTCCTCCTTTGCCATTTGGCCCATAAGAAATTTATTCTACATGCAGCCGGGATGAAAAAGAGGAAACAGAAAGAAATGTTAGGAATTTTTGGAATCATGCCTAGCAGAGGGATGTTTGGAGCTTCTAAATTAAAATGACTGATGCAATTTTCTTTTTTGTTGTTTCTTTTTCTTAGAAGTATGATAAATGTCTTCTTTACATGCCAACAATTACAAGACAGGTTGGATGTTCCTGTTTGTTTGTTTTCATTATATCAAAATTAGGATACAAGATTGATGTTTAAATAAATAAATAAATAGAATCAACCTCGTATCCTAATTTCCATATTTTCAAGACAGAAAACAAACACTGTAGAGAGTGCAAAAGAAAACATCTCAAAGCTGTGAGAATAAATCCACCTTCATTCAGAGAGCCCAAAGTAATTTCAGAGCCTGAACCACGCTGGATGCAATGATTGCCTTCTGGACCACCTGCACTGCATTCCTGAGCTTCTTGAAAGAAACCTCCAGCAATTGCTGATATGGGAAGAGCTGAATCTAATTTTGAGCTGACTTAAACGTAGCAATCAAAATCCTTGGGCCTCAACCACTACCAGTTGATATATCTTCCATTCTTTGGGCTGGTTTTGGCTCGGGAACTGGGTGATCAGGCAAATGTATCAGCAAATGCGCAACTGATTGCTGGCAATTGAGAGACCATGGATTAAATGTATTTGCTTTGGGTTACATTAGCAAGCAAGTATAAGGCCACACATACACTTTTGGTCAAAATATTTTGCTCAAAACATGTTCAATAAATAAATAAACCAGTCGGAGCATTGATCAGATTACTTAAAGCTATGGCTTGTGTGGATTTACTAGTCCCACTAAAACCTTACAACTCATATTCCTCATGACTGTAATGCAAGGAACTTGCATGGCTGCTGTCAAAAGGAACTGCACCTCAGATGTGACTCCGATCACCATCCCAGTTTGTAGACTATCGTAATGCTGCTCTGAGCAGGTCAGTTTGCATGATACACCTCTCAGGTGGCCAGCTCATGTCCAGGAGCATGGCTGTGTGTATGGCCCAAGCTCTGCTACTAACTCGGATCTGGGTCTGTTCTTTGTAAGGCTTCTTCTTTTTAAAGGAAGGTCTCTGAAAATATTTTTCACATGACAGGAGGCAAAGGCATATGACAGCTGCAGGTCTGGGCTCAGAAATGCAGGATTTGTGTCACTTTGGACTTGCCATAAATTTGGCACTTGCCAGCATCTGAATTGACTCAGTGAATGAAAGTGCACACCTTTTGCAGGGCTTTTTCAAAACTGGGTTTCCCACCTCTCCCAAATAGCATTTCATTTTAGGAAACACCAAATGCTTTTCCCCATGAGAACTCCCTCTGCAACCATGGATCCAAGCCAGGGTAATACCATACTCTGCAAAGCTGTGCAGTTCACATGGCACAGGATGAGTGTCCCTTCTGGATAATGCTCTGTGAAACCAATGGTTACACCACAGCAGCCCCCCTGCCATCGCCTAACAGAGCAGACACATTCATAGCAAGTGGATCAGCCAGGATCCAGTCTCCAAATGCAGGGCTTGAATAATTAGACGCTCCCATCGTTGCTCAACGGGAGCTGGGCATTTTAATTCCCTGCACATCATGCTGAGTTTCCACATCCCTTTCCCTCCACCTCCCCCACCTCCTTGCCCCAAGCTTTTGTGATTAACATGGCAATGGAGATTGAACTGTGTGCATACATTGATTTGCTGCATGGTTTGGCAAAAGAAAGCAAATCCAAGCTACTTACCTCAGCGCAGACCCCTTTGGTGTTGCAATGCCATAGCCTTTGGAGTCCAAGTTACCTCCCACCTTCATGGTGTCACAGGGCTTCCGTTGCTCAATGTACTCGTTCATCGTGGACTCCAAGAGGTAGGCATACTTCCCTTTTGACTTCCTCACCCGGATCATGCCCTCTTCTGTCGTCCTCACAAAAACGGAGGGTTCTGCTGACTTCATGTATGTCCACATCTTCTCAAACACTGCTATTTTGGATCGCTGTGTAGGACAGCAGAAACCCAACAGAAGCGTTAACAGAGGTTTAGGTGTCAGCTGTGATTTCCAGCTTGGACTAAGCACATACTCACATATCAGATGGGCCAAGGAAGGTGAAGGGGGAAACAGGATGTTAATGAACCTCTTTCCATTCCTGCACAGGGCCCAGATCAGCCCTGCCACCCTGACACCGTAAGGGTACAATATTTGTGTGTGGCAGGTGATTTTGCTGATCAAACCAAGGGCAAACCAAGCTGGAAGTCAAGAGATGGGATTCTTTTGGAGCTGTTCAGAGTAACTCCTTGGTAATGTGGGGAAGCACACAGTTATTCCATATTTGTGTTTACAATTGCAACATATCACATGTATCAGAGACACCGCCAGCCTTCTGAGCAGCACAGTGACTGGAGCTTTGCTGTTCGAAGGACAAGCTGAGCAGGTCCTGACATGGTAAGGGGAAACAAGAGAAAAAAAACAGACCTGTGCTGAGGATGAGAGGACGGGCCTGGAAGACTTGTTAAACAAGGGGTTAATCAAATGTTTGCACTAATGTTTCCTTTTTACCCTGAAAAATTCTTTAGTGGAGCCAGCTTCCAGAGTCCCATAGGCGATTTCTGTCTGCTTGGCCAAGTCCTCTGCACTCTCGATGGGAGAAACCATCCTTTCCACGGTGAGGAAGGCAGCCAGGTTAGCTGTGTAGGAGGATATGATGATCAAGGTGAAGAACCACCAGACACCACCAACTATGCGGCCGGAGAGAGACCTGGACACAGAGAGGAGAGTCAGACAGGAGGGGTGTGAAGGTGCAAAAGGTGCAGCTCGCTCCTGCAAACCCATCATTTAGCTGGGCATTGACCCAAAGTCATGTACTTCAGCCACTTCCAGGGAAGCCGAAGGTCTGTCTCAGTTCTCCATCTACTTTTCAAGGCATCAGCATAATTAGAGGTGGGATAAAAAATTCACAGTGAAAAAAAATCAGCAATAAACTGATTGAATTTTCTTTGATTTTCAGTTCCTTTCAGAGTACCTGGTAATATTAAGAAACAGAGACAACTACAGGGGGGTATTATGTGCCCCCTGTGGGAAGAAGCACCAGCATGAAGCTAGACCAGATATATACAGACCAGCTGGGATCACGAGGTCAGCTCCTCCATCCCCTGAAGTTTAAAAACCAAAACTCTGTGTTTTTCTACAAGACATATTGAAGCTTAGAGAGAAGCTATGGCCTTAATGAATAATTTGCCTACTCACATTCTCTGTTTTGTATTCAGCAGATGGTTAGACAAGATGTTCATAATAATGCTTTAAAATTTAGGTATTTTGCACTTGCTGCAATCAAATAGCCAATTATCTGAAACCATTGGATAGCTATAGAGGCAAGTAAGTCAAGCAGGCATTAATTTATATTAAAATCTTTTCATGTAATTTTTAAGAGTGAAAGATAATTTTAGAGTGATCTCAGTATTCATGTATTCTGCCTAAATTATTTATATTCTCCTTCTCTAGATGCAGAGCACTGTCCCAGACAGAAGGTAACTTACAATGGTATTTTACAGAGCCAGACAGTCTGACTAGGGAGGACCTGCCCATGAGAAACATCGTTTATTTCTCTGCGGAGGACCATGTCTCAGCACTGCCTTTCTGCTGATCTGAGATACTCCATGGAAATATGATTTATTGGATCGTGACAGGGAGAACCCAGTCCAGCCAGGGGCACTGGACCAGCTCATGACAGCATGTGCCGTGCCGTGTCGTGGTCTGTGCTAAACTTTGGGTCCAGCTGCTATGGTTTACTGTGGTTTAACACGACTTTACAAACAAACCTGCACACCACATTGCTCCATCGTGGGAAAAATCACACCCTGCTAATTACTGAAATTAGAACCGGAAAGAAACTAAATCCACACAGCCCATCAGCTGCATAACTTCTCGATTACACCCTTCCAGTTCGTTCAGCTTGGTTTTAAATGCTGCTGATGTGAGGGGAGCTGCTCCCACAGACGTCACATCATCTCCCCATGTAGAGCAACCCACCCTGAAACCTCTTCAGTCAAAACAGTCTAAGCTACCACACAGGCAGCGTATGGGGCAGAGCAGAAAGCACGTGGTTTAATATGTGGAAATAAGACCTATCCCACCACGTGTGCTGTCAGACCATGCTCCTGGAGAATGGTCACAGCAGCTTTCACCTGTGGCAGAGAGAAATTGGAGGAAACATGACTGCGAGGGTTGCAGCGACATAAAGGACAAGCGGTCTATTTTACAGATGTGAACGAAAGGACTTCTGTGGTTAGAGATGGGTCAGGCTTCCCTCTGCACAGGGGCCTCATTTTGGAACAGAGTCTCTGCCCTCTCCTCTGGTTTCTTCTTCCATGGGCTTTGCTGAAAACAGGCTGCAAAGTCCATCGCAGCGTAAAACCAAGGTCAGTGAATGACTTTGAAGGATCCACCTTTCAAGGTCTTCCAGGAAACTCTACAGGACTCACCACCAAGGTGATACTATAGAGTTCACAAATTCTTTTCTTAATCATTCAAATATTAAAAACCAAGAAAGGTACGACAAAGAAAACCACTTGGCATGGTTTCCACCCATAAGTTATATGCTGGTTACTTCATCCTGCAGTGTCTCACACAAAACTCCTCCTTTGTTGGCAACTGCAGCAACATGGCTGAGCAGACTGATGGTCCCTCTTCCCAGATTACTTTCTCTTTATGCCTCCCCATCACTGCCAGCCAGAAAGGGGGATCAGAGGTTGTGGGAGTGCTAGATGCTGTGGGAAAGGCTGGCAGATGGGCACTGTTCTTCTACCCTATCTTTAACTCTCTTAGAGAGACACACTCACTAAACAGCCTCAGGAGATGAGTAGGGACCTTCAGGGCTGATTCAACCCATCTATCTCTGATTATGAAGAGCTCCCTCTGCACACTCCCTCTATGTTAAATTTTGAAGGAACTGGGATGACTAGGTTGGGCTAAACAGCTAATTTTTAAGCAGCTGAAGTTAGGTGAGATAAATGTGACCATCCTGCTTCCCATCTGCGGAGAATACTGTCTGCAGGACTGTCAGTACAAACGACTTTACCTTTTGTTTCATATTTGGAGAGGGATCAGGGAGGGAGACAGCTATAGATTCAGCTCACATGTCTTCAGATTGATGGGAAGAGGAAAAAAATACCTGTCTTTAATTAGTCTGGATGATGTGTGCTCAGGGAAGGAAGCGCTCAGAAAAGCCACAGAGGCATTAAACAAAAGTAACCGGATAATGTCAAATACAACAATCTCTGCTGATGAAGGCCACTTTGAGCTGGCAAAATCCATTTGCATGGCAAATAATCACATTCATCTCCAGCTGCAAATTATACAGCCTTTCCTTCCTGACGAAGCTGGGATATTTCTGCGACTTGTTTCAATCCCTTCAGCGGCTGTCAGCCGGATTCCTGCCTCTAGACCCTCCACATCCTGGTGATATTCATCACTGGCTTATCCCATGGGGGCTGCCTGCTGTCAGCCGCAGATGGCTGATGCTTCCCGGCTCCACACCTGGCATTGACTGCATGAAAAAAAGTAACCATTGGGGTATTGAGACTGGGAGGTAACAAGGAGGGCTGGGGAAAGAGGGAGAAGGGCCTGTAGCTTCTTTCCCAGAGGAGCCAGGTGGGACAGGGTGAATGTCTGTATCATGCACCAGTCTCATCTGGACTGTTTCTGCTGCTCACGCTGGTCATTTCTCCTCACGACGTGAGATGCTGTGAGGACGTCAGTGCACACTCTCATAGTGGAGGAAAGGAGAGGAGATAAAAGCTTGCTATGGCTGCCAGCATGGGGAGGGCATCCCATGGACAATGTTTTGTTTCAGACACTGCTAACGGGCAATGTTTGCCCTCGTTGCTAGACTAACTGGGAGCTGGAAGCTGTGAATCTGAACTGCTGTAAACACACAGCAGAGAAAACACTCAGCAGATGGGTTCTACAGGACATCATCCTTTCTCTCCGTGGTTGTGCAGCATCTAACACAAAGGAGAGCTGGCCAGTGATGGAGGTTGTTGAAGGCTAGTGCAGTACAATAAAAATATACCAATGGTCATGATGAAACATCACACAAACAGACGCGATCCCCTGTGACACCCCCACAGCTCAACAGCAGTGACCACAGGTTAAACAGGACAAGTTGGATTTCTCTGGATAATCATGTTACCCACTTGGATTTTGAGCCAATGACTGTTACTGCTTACCAGAAGCAAGTGGTAGGAAAGAGAATATCCATTACGACCTTGTTCTGTTACTTCTGTAGACCAAGCAGGAAAGCAGCAGTGCTACCATCATGGGACACATTTGCAAAAGTGCTTTTGTAATTTAGGAGATAATGTTCCATTTCTAGAAGTGAGTTCAATACTTGGGAGCTAAAAGCCTGGTCAAAAGCCAGTGGGACTTGGAGTTATATTTACGCTCTAGTAACAGCAGTCACGGAGGAGTAGATATACCTTGTACTTTTGTCACTTTGAGGTTTTGAAAATCTCACTCCACAGTAGATAACAGAAAATGACCTTCCACTTGACTAACAAATGTTCTGCAGCTTGAGCCCTACCAAAGTTCATTTCTCTTCCCTAATGGGCAGTATGGGGTTTAAATCTTCTTGTATCAAGAATTTACATGTCCCCATACACATTCAAGCATAACATGAAGGCAATCAGCTCTCTGGTGTGTGGAAACGAGTTAGTGACTCAGTCCTCCCCAGAGCTAAGGTGAGATGGAACACACTGTTTAGTACTTTAAAGATATGCCAAAGTTTAGATATTTGGATTTGTCTATTTGACCTCTGGATTTATTCACATTTATTATCTCAATAATACTTGTGAATAGCAGGACCTAAAAAAAAATCAGCATAAAATAAACAAAGGTAACAGTGAAAGAGACTTTAATGAATAGATAATTCTGGGATGCAGAAAAGGATGAAATAGCTAGATAGACTAGGCTGCACATTTTTCAACCTATATTATTCCTTCTGCAACTACACTCTTCTTTCCTACACAATTCAAATTAAGATCTCATGATTTCTTCATTTAGACCTGCCTGTGCTGGCTAAAATCACACCCCTTCTTCCTCTCCCTGACTTGGGGTCCTGCCTGCCCCCCACAGAACAGTAGCAGGAATGGGACACTGCGTTCCAACATTACCCTTGCAGGAGTAAGTAGTAAATACTCTGCCCTTGTTATCTGTGGTGCACAATCTACTTAAAATTAGAGCTGGCCGGGAACAGGAATTTCAGCACTGTGAAAAATTCTGAAATTGTAAATGAAACCTTAATATTCTCAATTAGAATGAAAAGATAATGGTCACAAATGTACTCTAAAAGTAGCGTTCCAAAAATGGTTGGTTTGGGTCTGTCCCAGCCTTGCATTTTTCTATTACTTAATGTTTCATTTCTAAAAGGCTAAAAGGTATAATTTTAACATGGTAAACAATTTTGTTTCTGCTTTCTCATTACAAATAATTTTCTTTCATCTTTTATAATACATTAAACCCTTACCTACCACATGTATAATTTAAAAGATAATTTTGGAATGTATTATTTTATATCTGTCTAATGGAAAAACTGACCAAGCTGAAATTAATAATTTTGATTTTCTCACTTATGTGAGAAATTATGTGGCTTATTTTTACCTTTCATTGCAAAAGCAAATGCATTTGGCCAGTAGAAAACAGAAAATAATTGTAAGCTCCCTTTGTTCACATGAAGTGGTATTTTTTGCATGTTCTAGCCTT